ACACACACACACTCTCTCTCTCACACACACACACACACGCACACAAAACCTCTGTGTCAGTATGACACATTAAATTGATCAAAAGTGTAAATATATTACACATAAATGTAAATATAAATAAATTACATTTGACAATATATTCATATAGAAAAAAGCTATTTTAAATTGTAACATTTCACAATTTTTTTTAATTTTTTTAAGTAAATGCAACTTCAAACTTCAGTATATCAGCAACACTTTACAATAACTTTCAGTTTAACATTAATGCTTTACATATTATTGCATAATTTTTACAGCATTCATTAGTCCAGGTTAAATTTTAACCAACTGAAATATTTTAAATTGTAATAATATTTTGCAATATTACTGATTTTACTGTATTTTTTATTAAATAGATGCTTTCATATTTTTCATATACTGTATACAGTATATGAAGAGTTAATTTGCAAAAACAGACAACTCCATTTTTAATAATTCTCAGAAATCATGTTTTTTCATTGTGCATTCCAGTTAATCTCAATCAAACTGCAGTTGGGTTATTTTGATTTTGGGTTAAAAAAATAACTTAAAAAAACAGCTAACTAACACAATAAAACACAATCAAAACATGGTAACATATGTTATCTGTTTTTGCAAATAAACTCTTCATATATATATATATATATATAAATCGTATAGACCCCAAAAGTTTAATTTTGAATGGTAGAAAATCTAATAAAAATGACAAAATTACTAAAACTTTAACTAAAATTAAAGTGAAATCTGAAAATATAAAAAATAAAATATAATTAAAAATATTAACTAAAACTATAACAGCACATCAGTGTTACTAAAATAACACTGATTACAATCTGAAAAAAAAAAAAAACATAATAAAGCTTTATTTCCTGCATGGAAACTGTTGTGATCAGGCCTGACAGCGATCAAACTGAGGCTTAATGACTTTACGAGGGTGGGTTTACAGCTCAAGAGCGTTTTATCTGACAGATACTCCCTATAGCATCATAAATCCATAAGCATTCCATACCACAGTTCTGAAGTCCAACATGCTAAATAAAAGCTGAGCAGCGGCTCACGCTGGGATTTGAGATGTGATGAATGATGGATGGCGTTTGAACAGCTCAGCCGTCGGATGAAGATGTTCTCGAGAAACTTGTGCACTCGTCTGAAACTCTTACACAAGATGAGATGCTGTTCGGCACATTAACACGTTTCAGTTGATTAGGAATGTCACGTTTAAGTCATGAAATAAATCATGCGTAACATGATTATCACTGAAAAAACTCTGACGTGAAGCAGTCAGCTCTTATATATAACACACTCAGGTGCTTTATGATGACGATACATTGTCATGTTTGATGATGCTGTTTGATTTGTAATAATTTTATTGCATGAGCAGAAAGGGTGTGTGGAGAGAGACATAAAATACAGGAAATCACAGAAACAACAATCATTTATGTAGTTTAGAGTCATTATACACTGCAAAAAATTTATATATATGAAACATTTTGGTATATATATATATATATATATATATATATATACAGGGGGAA